TGGCTGAAAGGGTGGCCAAGGACCACAAGAATAACCTTATTTCTGGGGTCAAGTCCCCTTTCTAATTCATGGTCTCTTCCTATCTATGGAGAGTGGGTGGGTGGTTCATAAAGCTGTTTTTAAACGTAATACTTCTGAGCTAAAACAAGCAGCTCCGTTTGCACACCTGTCGTGGTTCATGGTAATGGTCTCTGAATACATCTGTCTGCCGCTTAGTCTGTGACCTGTTCCCAGGTGGAGGCTGTAGGGCTGCTTTTATATTCTCAGTACCTAACCCGGTGTCACTTACCGACAACACGTGTCTGTAATATGAGTGAATGACTGACATTGGCTGAGTGGATGGTGGATCAATATTAGGTGGGTGTATGTACATGTGAATGGATGGGAGGAAGGATGGATGGGTGAATGGATGACACATACACAGTCCACACTTAATTACCCCAATTCTCAAATTCAAAAGTAGTTACAGATACATACGGATCCCTTTGTATGCATGTCACTACCCCTACTCCCCCAAAACAAACAAACAAACAAACACAGCAACAACAACAACCTGGTTTGAGAGCACTGAACAGTTGGGAGATAAAGAATCTAATATCATCTCTCCCTCCAACTGAAGGTATGATCCTGGGCCAGCCTCTTGCTTTCTCATCCGAAATACAAGGAAGTTGGGTGGGTGATATTTGAGGTCCTTTCCAGTCCTAAATTTCCATAATTCTATGGCGATCCACCCACCCCAATCAGACTTATCTAAATAATTGCACAAAAACACCACTTCATGCTGGAGAAACACAGTCATAATAAACTAAGCAAAACCAAATGCCCTCCAATATCCTGTTGTGAACTATAAAATGTCCCCTAAAATCACATTTTCCCCTTGAAACAGGATGTAGGAAAAAATATTTTCCTAGTAAATCCTTTTAAAGTGCAAAGGAAAGCATTTATTCTGTGATTTGCCATCCAACTCAATAAAAACCCGAGGACCCGGTCGTCCTAATTACGGGAGATACTGTCCATGAGCAGAGGGGGTAGGCGTCTCGGCTGGGAACCGAGATGCCGGGCCCTTCCTCCATCGCCGAAGCCGGCCACGGCTGGCCATGCTCTCTGGAGCGCGTTGCCAAGCGCGCACCGAGCAGTTTATTCCTGCCATTATGTCGGGGAAACCAGTAAATGAGCTTTTATGAGGTGATTTATGAAACTCCTGGGGTGGACCAAGTGAGTGCTGGGAAGAAGTGGCACCAACTTCCAAACCCGTGGGGGTGAGGAGAGAGAGAGGACTTGAACTTTGGGAACTGTTAATGACCGGTTACAAGCCGTGTCTTTTCAGACGGGCTAAGCAAAGTGGGGTGATGGTTCCTTAGGAGAGGCAGGCAGGGCTGGAAGAGGTCAGAGGGGCGCTGCCTTATCCTTCGGGCACGGGAAAGCCTCCTTTGGGAGGAACCTTTTAAGGAAAGTGACCCCGTCTCCCCGATTTCTGTAGCCCCTCGGGGTGTTACAAGGAGCAAGTCCAGAGCTGTTGTGAGAGGAATGGAAAAGCCTGGATCTCTCTGTTTGTCTGGAGCCGTGGTCGGCAAACTCATTAGTCCACAGAGCCAAATACCAACAGTACAACGATTCAAATTTCTTTGGAGAGCCACATGTTTTAAACTTAAACTTCTTCCAACGCCACTTCTTGAAAATAGACTCGCCCAGGCCGTGGTATTTTGTGGGAAAGCCACACTCCAGGGGCCAAAGAGCTGCATGTGGCTCGCGAGCCCAGCTCATGATCACCCACCTTTCTGTTGGAGCGGACCCCCTATGGTAAGGCAGAAGGCGTCCAAACCGGAACACCTGGAACGTGTGACTGTGGTGATTCATGGCCAGGGCGAATGGGGAGGCAGACGGAATGAAGGTGGTTCATCAGCTGGCCTCCAGAGCGGGAGGTTATCCTGGACTGCCTGGGTGAGCCCCATGCCATCACAGGGGTCCCTGCATGTGGAAGAGAAAGGAGGGGTTGTAAGAAGGACTCGCCCCGCTATCGCTGGCTTTGGAGACGGAGGAGGGGGCCACGGGTCCAGAAAGGTGGGCAGCTTCTAGGAGCCAGAGGAGTCCCTCCTACAGTTTTCAGAAAGAACGCAGCTCGGCCCACACCTTGGCTTTAGCCCGGTGAGACCCATTGTGAGATTTTGGCTTCTAGAATTAGAAGCTAGCAAACGTGCATTGCTTTAAGCTATTACGTTTGTGCTAATTTGTTACAGGAAAACTAGCCCCAACTGTCAGAATATGTCCCGACAGTCATGTTTGAACCTCATGACTCTGGACGCTGAGCCATAGCTGACTGGACCAAGCGCAGACGTCTGTCCCAAGCTGGGCCAACTCAGAATCTGGGCTTGGAATCCATGCAGCTGTGATTAGAAGCGTATAAACTCAGGAGCTGACGGGGGCCCGTGTTCGGCCACGTGAAGTGAGAACCAGAGGAGGCTGGTTTGCAGAGATAATTATATTGAGGGAGAGAGAGGTGGAGAGAGGTCTGGGAGTGTTCTAATGCCTAGCTCCCTCCCAAGGTGAAGTACAAGTATGCTGAACAGATTCCTCCTGCTGACGTCTGCAGAAGAGCCATGTCCTCAGCTCAGAAACGTAGAGAGATCAGCTCCAACCAACTGAAAAATGCAGGCTGCTGGCCGTCCTCCAACAGCCAGATGACTAGTACTGGCTCTGGGGGGAGAGGGAGGTGGAACGTGTATTTAGGAAGAAATCCCTGCTCACAGAAGCAAAAGTGGTGAGTAGGTGTTCCTGTGTTTCACACATTTCCCAGACGAGGCTCAGAGAGGTAAAGCCGCTCCCTTAAAGTCACCCAGCTGGTGAGCAGGGAAGCTGGAATCCAAACCCAGATCGCTCAGTTTCCTAATCTCAGGTGTTTTTTGTTTGTTCGTTTGCTTTTCCCATGACTCATTCTTGGCTATTTCCTGGGATTCTTCTCCTTTTTTATTTTTTAAACTAGAACTGTCTAGTGTCCAAAAGCTTCAGGTGTGATACGGATGAAGTTTAACACTGTAGCTTCCCATTGTCTCCCGAAGCCTTATGCCCACTGGCGTCCACTCTGTGTGGCTCCTGCGGACTGCATACCAGCAGCACTGCATGCTCAGCAGCCTGTGGGCTGACTCGGCCTCATGTCCGGGCTTGGAGTTCCCAAGCAGGAATGGTGGTAAGGATACGCCCAATGATCTTGCTTTGTCGGTATCTGGATATGGGTTTCATAGTGTGATTCTGCTGCAGTAGCACCCACCACGCATCCCCATGGACAGTGAGGACAAAGGGTGCATTCAAGCTGCCAGCACACGTACTTGGCTAGCCGTGCCCATGGCATCTTCTCTAGGGACCAGGCCAATGAACACTGGACTATTGTGGGTTGTCATGGCAGAAGGTAAAGAGAGCAGTGAAGCACGTGGGATTTCTTACATTTGCAACACACGTTGCTTGTTATGGCCAAGTCAGCCATCAGTAGGTCAAGCAACTATCACCCCCTCCTGGGGAGAGGCCCTGCCTCTGAGGGAACGACAGAGACCACCACAGACGGTCTCCAGTTTCTGTATTATCGTGGTACGTTCATGATTCCATGGGTCCAGAAAACTCGGGTGTCTCATGCTACCCAAGAATCCCCACTTCCAGGCACTGGGCACCCTCCACTCGGCAAAAGCCTGCTTACACCGTCTTTCCCCAGGCAGCAGGGCCTTTCTAAGGGATGTGACAATGACTTCTGGGTGGCTGGTGGCTATTTCTCACCCACAGCACACGTGTCCTGGGTTGCAACACACACCCTTTCTCGCCGAAGCTGCACTTAGGACGTCTATGAAAGTCCCCAAATGAATCCACGCTGCCCACATCTATCCCGATGGAGCGGAGGAGGGCTGGAGGGGCCTGTACTTGGGAACTCTATGCCTTGCTGTCTTCCAGAGAAGAGCGCCTGACCCAATGAATGAAGTATCGTTACTGACGAAACCTCCTTTAGGGGCTGGGCAGCCTGTAGCATCCCTCCACCCTGCTCTTCCTTTTTGCATCCACATCCCCTCAGCTCTAGGGGGTTTCAAATAGTTACAGCCCACTGTCAACTGAAGGCCCCTTGCTCTCCGAGGTTAAGAGAATAAAATAAAAAGAAGGCTGAGAGGGAAATCTCATAGCCTGCCGTCCGGGGGAAGAACACAATGAATGGCCTCCCTGCTGACTTTCCTAGGGGTAGCATGTACTTGTGGTCACGTGAGCCTTGTATAGCCTGATGTTTTCAGATCACTTGTGCGTCCTCTCCACAATCTTCTCCGCTTTTACACATCCAGAGAAAACTTAGACCTTTGTTCCCACTCTCTGTGCCTCCTCACCCCCCCAAAAAAAAACAACAACAACAACAACACACACAAACAACAACAACAACAAAAAACTCCACAACTGCACCAGACACACTATGTACATTGAAGATTTGGTGTAGCTCAGCCCTCTCCCACTCAAAACCCTCCCCTATGACCTGGCCTTCTTCCTGGGTGCTGGTCCCCCTCTTACCCTAATTCACTCCCCAGCTCTTCACCTCTTTGGCTCTGCCCCAGCCTTACCGTCAAAGGCAAAGACTCACTAGCGTCTCCATTACACAAAGGCCCATTTATGCAATACAGAATCGTTGGCAGAGATTTGTCATTTCTTTCTCACTTTCTCTCTTTCACCATAGGCAAAAGAAAACTGTATGTAGGAAAAGGGGAAGCGGATGTGCGCGTCTCGGAGTTCGGGGCGCCGCGGGAACAGACCTCGCAGGCAGGGGCCGGAACCTATCCGCCCGCGTCGCCGCTGGCGGCGGAGGCCGGAACCTTTCTGCTCGGGTCGCCGGCGGCGGGCGGAGGCCGGAACCTTTCTGCTCGCGTCGCCGGCGGCGGGCGGAGGCGTGCAGCGACGGACCAGTCCTCCAGCGGCCGGTCCGCGCAGTGGTCGCCGGCTGCTGACGTGGGCCGGCCGGTGCGGGGCTGTGAGCGCGGGGCGCGATGGCGGTGGACATCACCCTGCTGTTCCGGGCCAGCGTCAAGACCGTGAAGACCCGGAACAAGGCGCTGGGAGTGGCGGTGGGCGGCGGGGTCGACGGCAGCCGCGACGAGCTGTTCCGCCGCAGCCCCCGGCCCAAGGGCGACTTCTCCAGCCGCGCGCGCGAAGTGGTGAGTTGGTTGCTATGGAAACGGCGGGCAGAGGGTGGGCTCGGGCCGGCGACGGGGACCCCGGAACCCGGACCAGACCAGTCCCTGTCCCGCGAGCGTGTGTGCAGGAAGCGCCTGGAGAAAAGGGGTCCGGAACCGGGGCGGGAGGGTTTGCCCGGGAGCCCACAGCTGTCTCGGGGAGGGAACAGCCTCCATTGGAAGGATGGGGACGGGTATTGGGGAGCACACTGCTCGGGCGGGGCGGGGGGTAAGGGGGGAAAGACACTCGGGAATCCCAGTTCGCTGAGTTCAGGGGCCGCTTCGAGCGAGGGTGAGCTCGCTGTCACCGCGGCCCCCGCTTCCCGTGGCCGCACCGACCACAGTGCATTCGCTCCAGCTCCTTCTCGTTTCGCGCTCCTCCCTCCCTCCCTCCTTCCCTCCCTCGCCCCGCACCCCTTCCTCCCCTCACACCCCCCCCCCGCGTGGAGATCAAAGATCGCGTCCCGCTGACCTCTCCCTTCCCCTGGCCTCCTGCAGCCGATTAGGGCCCCGCAAGAGATCAGTTCGTCTGGAGGCTGTTGTAGGGTCGCCTTTCACAAACACTCCACGGTGTTGCCATCGAACCTGCCTACTGTTATCTGGACGCGGCAGGCTTTGGTCCGGGAGAGCAGGGACCTTTCCCCGCGGGGCGGGGACCGCGTGGGCCTGACATCAGGACCCCAGGACCCCCCGGGGCGGCGTTGCTTAGTGTATGGTTAGTATGAAGTGAAGATAAAAGTGGACAGATGGCTGTCAGAGTGTCCTCTCCCCCTGCAGCACGAAGCTGCAGGGGGAGAGGACACTCTGTAAAGGGGTATTAGCCTCGGTCACCCTTCTGTCCTTGCCTTTGTGCAGTCCGACACATACACAGCTCCGTCTGGACTCTTTAAGAAATAAAAGTGCAAGCTTCCTAAAGACGGTTCAGAGCTTGGGGAGGTGCCAGTGAAGCTGACGTCTCACTGATTTCATGGTGAACCCACTTCTGTTTGGCACAGTCCAATACTTGGCACTCTGCAGACACTCATATTTTTTAAATGAATATATGTATGCCTGCTTTAATGAGTGGCAGTTTGCAGGGGCTATTCAAGCATTGGCAGGGGGCGGGGTTGACCAGATGTTTACTGATGGGCTTATAGTACATTTTAAAAGGACTGGTGAAGGAAACAGACATATTCACTAAACAAGGGCCATCAAGCCTAGTGGCTGTGTGGGGCACAGAGGAAACGTGTTCACTGAGCGCCAGGAAGGGCTGTGCAGAGGCAGTGAGTCCTGAATCAGGCCTTGGAAGAGGAGGGGATGGTTTCTGGGCCGACAGGGTGAAGAGGGCTCCTCAGGCTGAGAAGAGTTACACACGAAGGCGTGGAGATAGGTGACTGTATGCTCGCTTCGCTTCATATATACTCAGTGCATGTCTGCCCATTCAATTACCAACAAGTTGGTAACGATATTTCACATGTTGCTTTATAAGGGAGAAACGTATATCTCAACAGCTGCCAACAATGATGAGCTTGATTGGTTGAACTTACTGGGGTTGTGGGAATGATGGGGAGAGTGGAGAGAAGATGAGGACTTGGATTTAGAAGACTTACATTTGAAACTGGGTCCTGCCTCTTAGAAGTGGGTGACCTGGACAAGTCCTATTACCCGAGTCTCATTGTCCCTTTCTGTAAAAGGGGCATGATAATACTTTAACGGCTAATCAATCTTTAGGCTCTTATGAGACCACATGTATTATAAAGAACCGTACCGATTCTTATTGCTCCCTTTCTCTCCCTACCTCAATTCCACGTCGGCTGTTTAGACTATTTTCGTCATTGGTGTCAAGCTGTCTTCCCTAAAGCTTTCTTGTACTTTCATTCCTTGCTTGCAAAGGGGAACCAAGAAAGTTCATGAAGGAGTCAGAGAAAATTCGGTGCGGGTACTAACAGCCTCAATAATGGAGACAGCAGCATCCTCTGTCCAGGTGGGACGCTTGGTCAGTGATGGCAGACGTGTGGCCAGGATGCCCGCTGATTTCCCAGCAGATCTGTGCAGCTCAGAGCCCTCCACAACGTCGTGCCCCACACAGCCATTGCCTGTTCTTGGACCTGCCCTTCCAGTTACAATCTGCTGGACATCTCACCTGACAGAGCAGAAACAGGACCTGTGTACCTAAAGCTGAGCCGCGCGCACTTTATGTTCTTCGTGTAGCAAGAGGGTCTTAAGTTCGTGTTGTTCAGGCTTCTCATTTTATTTATTTATTTATTTATTTATTTATTAATATATTTTATTGATTTTGTACAGAGAGGAAGGGAGAGAGAGAGTTTAAGAAACATCGATGAGTGAGAGTCATCGATCAGCCGCCTCTTGCACACCCCCTACTGGGGATATGCCCGCAACCAAGGTACATGCCCTTGACCGGAATTGAACCCGGGACCCTTCAGTCCCCAAGCCGACGCTCTATGCATTGAGCCAAACCGGTTTTGGCTAGGCTTCTCATTTTAATGGTGGGACAACTAATACCCAGGTCAGTGAAACGACTTGCCCAGAGTCCTATTGTCTGAGCTCATGGCACAGAGTCTGAAGTAGAAGCCAGGTGCTCGAATACTATTTATTATGCCCTCAACCCTCATCCTCCTACCTTTCATTTCCACCATAATTTTAAACCAAAAACTCATTTTGGGGGCTTTAGAATGGCGGCGAGTCTTCTTCTAAAGTTAATACTGAATTCATAACTGGAGACTGAATGGTTTTTAGAGCAGAAAGACGTGAATTGGATGCCTCTTACTTATTTTATGAATTTGAATGCCTCTTACTTACTGTATGAACTTGGGCAAGATCCTTAGCCTCTGTTTTCTCATTCCAAAATAGAGTAATAACAATCATACAAGGTTGTTACGCAGATGGAATGAGAGAAAGAATGCAAGTGCCTGCACAAGTGTGAATTCTTTTGGTGGCAAATGACAATAATTAATAATGTAAATTAACCTGAGCAAAATGGAGATGCCTAGCTTAGACAGCTGGGAAACAGGCTGGAGCTTCTTTTCCTAGCTCTTCCAGGAAAGGACTCTGGTTGGCTCCGGTTGGATCCTGAGCTCTCGTTTATGGCATCAGATGGATAAGATTCTTCTATCTGATGCCATATGGGTGGGTTAAATACTATGGTTGTTGCCCTATCAGGACCTCGGAGGGGAGTGCTCCTTCTTGGTGTATGGGGTGAGGGATGTTGGGCAGGCAAATCCAACAAAAACAGCTTCAGAGTGTCTAGGACGGTGCCCGACTTGCTGCCACCCTACCTGCCTGATTGTCTTCAACTCAGGGGAATGAAAACTGGAATGGGGAGCTTGTAATGACAGGCAGTGGATGTGGGGATGTGCCTGGAGGTGCCTCATAGGGGAGTTCTTCATTTTCTTACTGACTTAAAAAAGTTACTGAGGCCAAGGAATGCTCCACGCGAGAAACCAAGGCGCCTTTACGCAGCCAGACTGTCCAGGCAGCAGAGGCCAATGAAAAGCACAGGAGACCTGTGTTGTAGCTCCAGGCTGGCCACTAAGTGGGAGGCCACATAATCTCGGGGCCTCAGGTTCCACATTGGTATGACTGAGAGCTTAGACGGCAGTGAGTCCTGTTAAGATGTTTTGGTTACATATAAGGTAACAGTGGCCCTGAATTGTTGGGAATTCTATTTTCAGAGTAGGCTTGCTGATAAGATTCTCTCTACTATACATTGCTTTCATGAAAGCTAACTGTGGTTTATTTTTTATTTTTTTTTTAGAAATTGGTTATCTTGAATTCTTGGCTGAAATTCAAAGTGATTTGAAGCCAGATGATCTGGTCCCTACTTCTCTAACCTCACCTGCTCTCACTCCTTTTTTACTCCCAACCCCTCGCCTCTGTCTTTCTCACACCACCGGGCACCCTTCTCCCTCAGGCCTTTGCATGTGTTGTTCCCTCTATGTGAACATTTTCCTCCCAAATTCAACCTGGTTTGATTGTCAGGTGTCTGCTCAAATGTTGCCTGAATGAGACCTTCCTCTTCTGTCCTGCATAAAGCAGCTTCCCTTTTCTGTACCTTACTCTGCTTTATTCTTTTCATTATCTAACACTTTGAGTGTCCATTTATTTATCATTTACCTATAGAATATATGCTTCCTGAAAACAAAGACTTTGTGCTTTTTAGCACTGAATCCGTAGGCCCTAAGGACATCGGTATTTCTTGAATGAATTGAGGAGGGTTAACACACAGGGTCACTTTGCTTTCAGCTTTGCAGCTAGCTGATGTCTGTCCAGGGCTCCATCCAGCTCTAGGAATGAGCGATCCTAATATTCCTTAATAGTACACAGCATACATTTACACTTAGTGCAGCACCTGGAGGAAACATTAGATAGAAAGTAGCTTTTATTTTATGAAATGAAGTAAATGTGTTCTATTATAGAGATGTGTTCCTACCTCAGTCTAATGGGGAAGCGGACACATAAATAGCATAACAACGCAGGTGTAAGTGACAACCGCAACTCGGAGCGTGACTCCACATTCCTCCCTGGTTTGCTTCTGAGACGTTGGTTGACCTCGGTGCCAAATTTGGGACTTAAAGGTTGAGCTGGAAATAGCCTTTGTTCAAGGATTAAGAATAGCTCTATCTAAACAGATGACAGGCAAGGGAGCAGGGTTTGAAAAAGCCGTATTAGGCAGCAGGTGTCAGGTCAGCCAGAAGCCAAAAGGACATGTAACGGGCCCAGCAGGACGGGAATAGCTCAGGAAACCGTAGGTTTAGGATGCAGGCATTGAACAGAACGTGAGCATATTGAATCATATCTTTTTTTAAAATATATATTTTATTGATTTTTTTTACAGAGAGGAAGGGAGAGAGATAGAGAGCTAGAAACATCGATCAGCTGCCTCCTGCACACCCCCCACCGGGGATGTGCCCGCAACCAATGTATATGCCCTTGACCGGAATCAAACATGGGACTTTTCAGTCCGCAGACCGACGCTCTACCAC